TATATCATTCCTGTGCAATTTTCCTTAATATCAAAAAAAAAAATCATGTAGTCTTTCATTTTAAAGATACTTTTGCATCTATGTAAAAGATTGGCCCAAGAATAAAAGTAAAGGACAAGGAATTAAAATCCAAGTTCTTCAATATATCTTTTTTTAGTATTATATGCACTAATTTTTTTGAGGTTGCAAATCTGCATTTATGCATTTGTGTTGAGACAAACCTGACCATCTACTGTATAACTAGAGATTCCAAACCTCATCCTCACTACCTAGACTCAATTCCCATCAGAGGCGCCTTGTTGCCTGCATTTGTCAGCACGCTCCATGGAACACGCCTGAGTCTACTGTCTGACACAAGGGAACTGGCAGATTCTCACTGAATGCAAAGCTTTAGGTAATGAAAAAAGCTAGCATTAATTTCTATGGCATTTTTTGCTTGGTTATTTACCCTAAACTCTATTTTGCTCAAGCTCAAGATGATTGCTTCCTGATGCAGTAGATTAAAAATCTGGGGGTTTAGGATGGGTTATTTTTCTTATCATTATCACTGTTAGTTTACCACTATATTCTGGCACTTGAACAGTGTCCCTGTGTCAGCAAATGGAGGCAAGCTCAGTTATTCCCAATTTTCTAGTGCTAGCAGCCTGGAATAGCATAGCCTTCTGCAATAGCCTGTGTCGGTTTTCCCAAAAACAAGTTCTAAGGGGCACCTTCTCTCTGCAGGAACAGCTGGCCCACAGGGCAGCCAGGTGGGACCAGCTCCACTGGCCTCTTGTTTTCAGCATTCTTCACCCAAACGTCTGCTCCGAAGTCCATCAGCAGCTTCACCAGCTCCACGCTGCAGTTCCTGGCAGCTGTGTGCAGAGGGGACTCCAGGCCCTTGCCGCTGTTCACACTCGCTCCTGAACAACAGGAGGGGCAAAGAACAATGAGAGGAGCCAGGACTACACAGCAGCCCACCGTCATTCACTGCACGAGCTGCTGGCTCTCTGAATGACACACAGGTGCTGTAGCTGCACCCAGAGCTGGACTCCTTGAGCTGGGCTTGGTGCTACAATTTGCACAAGCACAGCTCTCACTGGCTGAGGACTGGGGCTGTGACTAACAAAATGATCCTGGAACAGTGCACGAGGAAATCCTTCACCCACAGCCCAGCCCAAGGGTATCTTGAAGCAAGACAAAGGTGTAGCTCCACTTGTGGCCCACCTCTGCTCCCCATTCCTTAAAATAAACTCAGGATTTCAATATGCTCTCTACTGGAGACTTAAGATGGTGGGATTTCCAAATGCCAAAATATCTGTTAGGGGAAAAATGCAAGAATAGAAAATTCTAGAGGTCCTTGGTAGATGAGGGCATAAACACCCTGGTGAGAGTTCCCCCATTCATTACTCTGGATTAATGGCTTCTAAAATATGCTAAGAAAGGTGAGCTGCAAAATTAATTCAAGACTATAATGTTTTTTATAGTACACATTCCCATATATATGAGGCAGCAGAAAAAAAAAAATTAGGAGAAAAAAGAAAATAGTTGCCAACATTTAATCAGATTAATTTGTATTTGACTTCTTCCCAGTAAGTTGACTTCTACTAAACAGTGACGTACTTAACAAGTGATATATATTATTTTTGCTTGTTTTTTTCTAAAATAGTTTTGTTGGTCCATCATTTTTGTACCAGCTATGTGGCCACTTTAGGCCACATATGGCCCCCCTTTGGCTAGAAGACCTGTACTACTCTAGATAACAAGAAATGGTTTTATGTAATTACCCAAGCATTTAGACTTACAGCTTTGTGTGATGCAAAGGACATAGTACTGAACCTCCTGCATTGGAAATGTCTCCAACTTTTTATGAACTCATTGGAAATCAAAACATGTTTGCAGAAATACTATGTAAAGGTGGCTGAGTCAATTGTTTTGGGTAAAGAGGAAGTAAAAAAAAAATTAAAATTAAATTTCTTCCTGTTGACTTCAAATAACTGCAGCATTACATGCACAGACACTGGAAAGTATAGCTTGTTCCAGACACAATCAGCCATGTGAAATCCAAGATCACCCATCATTTTGTTGAGAGCTATCCAGCTGAATTCCTGGGTCAAGAAAACCATGATCACCCTGCTACCACATTTAACCAGGGCTGCTATTAGGAGTGAAACATCTCCTGGTCCCAAAGCAAGAGTTCCTCTAAATTTTTGATGCAAAGATAATCCAAAGACAGATGTTGCAGGAAACAAAAGTACACCATTCTTTATTTTTGTTTTTACCTGACTCCAGCAGCTTCCTGGCACAGTTCACTTGCTGGTTCTCACATGCTACATAAAGTGGAGTACCCAGGTGCTTGATGTTGTGATCTATATTTACCCCACGGGATGCAAGGAGTTCGACACATTGCACATGACCTTAAAAGGGATAAAGGAAGAGTCAACTCACAGAGATCAGGCTCTTTTTTTTCAGCAAATTCTCTGTTACAGCAGTGTAGTTTGGCAAAGATTCAATGTTTTGTCAAGAGGTGGTAGTGTAATAACTTTAATCCACTCCAATGGATCCAGCCAGCAAACCAGGAGCTGAAAAGCCACATTCAGCAAAACAGGCTAAAGCCTCACAGGCTAAAACCCTCACATTTCATCTGACTCATTTCAGGTGTCTACTGAAGATGAGATTAATCACTCCATGTTTCTCTCCACTCCTTTTGAAGACAGCCAGATGTCTCCCTCAAATGTCCACATTGTATGCAGCTGACTTGGACAATGCATTCCCTTCCAGGTGGCACGACGTGAACTCAGAGGATCTGACAGCTGAGCTGACCTGCCCCTGAGGAGCAACAGGCTGGGAAGAACTGCACCCCTCATGATGAGACCAATTAGCAAGGCATTTTACATGACCCAAACCAAGAAAATTATCTTCTTTATCTCTATCCACCACTTCAACACGCTGCTAGCAGCATGGACAGGAGAGCTGATGCCTGTGGGGTTACCTCTCTTAGCAGCTTCGTGGATGGGGGATGCCAGGTCACAGGGTGGGTGTAGGCTGGCTCCATGCTCCAGCAATAAATTCAAGCAAGCCACACTGCCACTGACACAAGTGTTGAACAGTGGTGTGTGCCAGTCCACAGTCACTCCATCCACCTGGGAGAAAATAACACAATCTGGCAAAACCTTTGTCTTCTTGATATTTCAGAATTGATGGCAACTAACCAGTTTCTCAGCAGGAAATAGGGGTTTCAATATTTTTTATTTAATTCCATGCCAAAACTCCCCAGTGCTTCCAAAGACTACAAGTTTTCATTAAAATGATAATTTAAAAAGTATTTTTTTAAATTTCCCCCAAGTCTCTCCTACTGCAAAAAAAGAAAAAACCCAAAAAACCATCAGGGCCACTCTAGGGTCTCTCAGGAGTTACCAAGCTAAATGTATGACCATTTCTCAGTTATTTTAGCTGAAACACACCTACCCATAGCCTTCTCCTGAAACAGTCCATTTTTGGTTGAAAGTGTTCAACCCTTCATTATTATTATTTTTTTTAATTTTAAACTGAAAGGTAATATCTGTAAGGTAATGGATGTATGAATGAATGTCCTTATTCACTACAATTTTGATATTAGCTTGAAAAGTAGTGGCCATGAGACACGATTTCACCATTTTACTTGCATCTTGTTTCCATTTTCTTCCCATTTTTTGTCAGTTGGTTGTCACAATCCTATGATTCTACTTTAGATTGCATATTGATACCAATAAGATTAATGCATGCATAAAATAAAACACACCCTTAACTGCTGCAGGATTATAAACACTTTGCAAGATTAACTTCCCCTTGTTCTGGTTACAGATGAGAACATTTCATCCTCATCTAAAGAACAATAATAACTGTTGCTTATATCTGTACTTTTTTTTTTTTTTTATTAGGAAGTGCATTTCATAACTACCTTAAGCAGAGCCATGTACAGAGTGCAAACCACAGAGATACTCTGCCATGACACCAGGTAGCATTACAGTGTGGTAGTACAGCATACTAACACTAGAGACAGAGGTCTGTCCATCACCTACTCACCTGAGCACCATGTTTTAACAGGACACTGGCACAGGCAGCATGACCCCCTAGGCAGGCTTCATGGAGAGGAGACACCTGGTCTGCTGTAACAAGATTGACATCATTCCCCTGATAAGATAATGGAAAATATCATTACAACCAACTACTAAAACCCCCATACCAAAATCCACAATAAAAAAAAAAAAAACCTGCTTTAAAAGCTTTATGTAACTAGACCTTCCTCAACTGCCTGGAGCTATTCATCTCAGAAGTAAGCAGATGAAGGGGATGAAGAGGTGGTAATGATTTGGGTGGAGTGGATACTGGTACAGGATACCCGAGGCCATGCCTTGTACACACTGAAAACCAGCACAGAAGGCTTAGTGGACTGTCCAGTGGGACAATATATTGTGGCTGTTTGACTGGCTGGAACCCTGAAATGCTCTTGAAGTATTTTCTGCTCTTTGCCTCAAGGCAACCACTGAAGGAAAGAAAGGCATCAGAAACATTGGTTGGATTCTCCAGGTTCTTTTGTTTCTATCAATCTTGGTGCTCCAGAAGACTAAGCTGGAAGAGTCTCCAATGCCCCTTCCCTTTCCATTATCTCCTTCACAGGTTAAACCCAGGGATTTTGAAGAAACAAAGTGGTGAAGTTCAGAAGTCATTTCTACCTATCCCTGACCTTCTGGAGGGACTAGGATATGCTCAGGCACTTCAGAAACAAGTGTCTGGGTGACTGCATTGAAGCTCAACCAGACCCATGACTGGGTCCAGAGCTGGCCTTCAGCTGGGGCACCAAAAACTCCTCACTGGCATGCACAGGAGCTGCAGAGGAGCTGCCCTTGGCCATCCATAGATCCCACTGATCCCATTTCCTCTGCCACAGTTAACATATCACCCTGGATAGTTTAGTACATCTTCAGATTAGTGCACAAAGCTTGTACTGGGCAAGGAACTGATTGTAGCGAAGAAAAGCCTGTTGCATGCAGATTTTGCTGTGGCCTGGTTAACAGGATTTTCTCACCCTGAAGTTTCACAGTGAAGCACAGACTGCATTCATCCACTGAACAAACCCTGCAGACACCACATGAACCCAGCTGAGAGGTACCTGTTCAATGAGCTTCTTCAGGGAAAGCAGACGCCCATGGATAGAGGCCTCATGTAGAGGAGACCAGTCTGAAACAAAGTCTGTATAAAAACAAAGACAGGAAAAAGGCTAAAACTTCTATTTCACTTGCATATTTTACTTCAACTGTGTGACCTCCCTTCTACTTTATTTGAGCTGCCAAGATTTCTTTGGAGCAGATGGTGTGAGGGAGACAGACAAGAAGATGGTTTCCCTCTGGGTGCATTTTTAACTCATCCCATGTTTGCACTGCACAGCTGTGCTCCCCTTCAGAAGACAGGAGGGATTTGCAGAACATCACCTGGCTCTGGCTGAGCTTATCCCTCTCTCTGAATTATTTCCAGGGCCCTTTTTTTTTTTACATGAACTTATTACATTTTACCAATTATCTCAAAAGGAATATGTTTGAAGAGAGTTTGGCTGATCAGTCATTTACCCCGGCTCAGAGCTGGACTAGAGTCAACAACACTTGGCAAGAGAAGGGACCAAAGTACAAGGAGGCAAAATATACTACCTGTTGATTCTGTCTTTCTGTTTTCAGTGTTTGTTATGAGTGGTGCATTTTAAGTAATAGCTGTGCTGTCTGCATTGTTGAAACTACAAAGTGAGGTACAGCACATACATACTGTGCAAATATTAATAGAGAGAGATCTTCAGTATTACAGATTTTATGGCTCAGAGTCAACTGACAGCAATAATCCCTCTGGGAGATATTTATGTCCCAGCACTCAAAACCCAGTGTCTGCTCTATGTCAATGTGCTAGGTTCCCCCTGGGAAGGAAGGGAAGCCTTTACAGAGGGCATTTCACACAGCTTCCTGTTAAAAGACATTTTGATGTTCTCTGGAGATGTCCCACTCTCCTCCACTAACTACAGAGAATACTCCAGTGACCAAGTTGCTGGCTGAGTTGCTGAGGTTCTCAGGAACTATAATAAAGCACATGCATGGAATGGAATCCTTAACAGCAGGAAGTCTGCCTTCAGCAAAAAACCCTAATAAGCCTATAATTCTTTGAAAGAATGTTTACACATAAGCTGATGATCATAATGGTTTTAAATAAAAAGAAGGTATATTTAGGCCAGACATTAAAATGTGGTGGTGGAATAATGGAACAGGTTGCCTAGAGAGGTAGTAGATGTCCCTTTTGTGGGAAGATTCAGGTCAAGGTGGGTGGGGCTCTGAGAAACCTGGTCTAGTGGAAGGTGTTCCTGCTCATTGCAGGGGTGTTGGACTAGACGACCTTTAAAGGTCTCTTCCAATCTACACCTGGCTATGAGTCTATGAATTAGCTTTTAAAGAAATCTGTATTCTTTGTTATTAGCATTATTTGAGCTCTGCCTGCCTCCTATGCTCCATGGGCTGCTTCCCACAATAGTTACACAGTTTCATTAGGTTCCCAAATATCTTCAGCTTTAGCAAACAGACAGGCAATTCTGGAAGCTGTGGTTCTAGTTCATGAGGATGGCAAACCTGGACAACAATTATTAAACCACAGACTGATTAACTGACTAAAACATCTTTGCTCTAAGTGATGTGTGTTAAATTGATGCTTATCTGACTGTGCTGTTGCTCTTGTTGGTCCTGCCTGTGTTACAGTCACTTGTGTTTCCAGGGTTTTTACATTTAGAAACTAATGCCATTGCCTAAATTGCATGAGTTGTAAGGGAAGTATGTTTATAGATATTCTAAAAATCTAGATTTAAGTACCAAGTTTTTTGAGCTGCAACTTGAACTTTTTTTGGCTACACAAATATTGGCAGGCACTTGTGCCTGTACCAACCTGTGCATTATACCAAAGTATTATATCATCATGTCATGATGATATAAGAGGGACATATCCATGTGTGGATTTTATCCATTCAGTCCTTGCTTAAGAAAAGACAGGTTTCCACTGAAACTCTAAAAAGAGCCAGACCAGCCATCTGTAGACTGGACATTGGCTTGCAAGTTTCCAAGTTTTAACAATGAATTAAAAGATTGACCATATAGGCATTAAAAATAAATGTCAGTAAAAAATAAAAGAGATATGTGCTGACACGTAATCTATCTGGGAGTTCCGTAACTGAGAGAAACCTAGAGTTTTATCCTAGGTGGAAGTGGAGCCCTATGGAGCCCTAGGGAGTCTGTCACACCAGCCTTGGACACCTTGGGAGGAGCAGGATTAAAGGCCTGACTGATGACTAATTGGGATGACATAATTCCAGATCTGCTGCCATGAACTGCACAGCCTCAGGCTGATGTTTCTCCTGCCCTACCTCCATCTGCAGCAAGCACTTCTAACCTGAAGCAGTGCCAGGAAGGCATTGGAATGGAGGCCCTTGGAAAAGATGGCAAATTTCTTCAGTTTCTTAACCCCAGGCATCACCTTCTTGCAAATAACCATATTTCTTTTTTTTGCCTGCTCCAGGCTGGAACTCAAGTTCCTTGCCTGGAAGAGGAGAAAGGCTGCAGTGATTTCCATGTCTCACTGCCCTCTTTTACACTTCACAGGAGGCACACTATCAGAATATAAAAGATGTGTATTGTATTTGATTAAGGCCTAAGCAAATGTCAATTCTAGTTGATTATGGGCTTTCAAAATCCCGAACTAGTGATTTTCATGAATGTGCCCAGAGCACTCTGCATATGGACTAGCAAGGCCAGTGTGTGTGGGGGATGCAGTTGTTCATTGTATGTACCACCACCAAAACAAGGATTCCTGATTGTCAAAAATAGTACAGCTGCTCTTTCACAAAGAAACAAGATAATTTGTCCAAATTTGAAATTTACCCACACCTTAGTCCACAGGGAGTCTGAGTCAGACCCCAGTAGTTTAGCTAGACATCTAAATCCCACTGGCTTTCAGTGGCTTTGGGTCACCTCCCCTTCCACTGCAGAAAACTCCAGCCAGCCCAGAGGTTACATTAAACCCCTGGTCATATTTGATTGCACTGCCATCACTCAGGCATGTGACACTGGCAGGGTGGTGTATACAGAGGGAGTCTTATAGCAATAACCATGTACACATGCAAGATCTGACTGCTCCCTGTGCACAACAGAGCTCTCACAGGACCTTTCTAGAGCACTGGTTTTTGTTGTGATGGCTGAAGCAACTTTTTGCAGCCTCAGACCATGTGAGGGCATTGCACATGGTGCCTGTGCCTGTCCCCAGGCTGGTTTCTTCCCATGCCTCTCACATACAGCACAACTTGAAAGGGGCTCTTAAGTCCTCCTAGTGAAGGTGTGCTCTTGCATTCATATTTTCAGATACAAAATCCTATGGCATTATATAGAACAGTATTACAAATTGTATTTTCCATACTCAAAGGCTGTTCCTTAAAGTTTGTGATCTACATAGCTTGAGCTAAATACATTCCTGCTGGAAATTGCGAGCAGAGCTTATTGACTCTGCTAAGGAACAGGCAGACACAAAAGGAATGGACTAAACTTTGATTTTCAAAGGACCAAATGATCTGTGTGCAGCATTGTGCCATGTGGGATTCCGTCCTTCCACCCTCCATTTTGCTGGAGCTCATCTCCAGTGTGGACTGGTTCTATTTCACACAGTTAATGGTATCACTGTGCCTTCCTGCTCAGCCCAGCCTCAGGCTGTACATACATGGCACACACGGGGGCAGGCAGACTACACTGCAGATAGACTGGTCAGCCCTGCATTTTGGCTTTATGGTCTTAATTTTCAACTTGGTGTTAATTGAAGCATCCTGAACAGCCCAGAAAAAGAGCAAGGATAGCATAGTCACATTTTCTGAATTTACCTCATTCCATCTGCACTCGCCATTAGAGGAAGGAGTAACTTAACAGAAACAGAGCTACAGTGAACACATCCAGCTCAGGATACAAAGTTTAATTACTTGTCTTTTTTTTACCATGTCATATTTTCAATGTCTCTGGGCCAGACACAGAGCAATGACCAGAGTGAGGCCATTTGTCTGAGTAACTGCTCACTATTATGTGCCCACAACAGCACTGGTCACAGCAATGCCACTGAAGAAGAGCCCAGTAGGCTCAGCCTAAACAACACTTAGGTCTGTTCATCTGAAAGACAAGGGGAAAGGATAAAAGATAAAGAAAAAAAGGATAAAGAAGAAGAAAGATAAAAATGAAAAAAAAAAATTAAAATAATTAAAAGGAAGGAGAAAAAGAAGGAAAGTAAGGAGGAAGGGAATGAAAAAAGAAAGAAAAAAAGAAAGAAAAAAGAAAGAAAAAAAAAAAGAAAAAAAAAAAGAAAGAAAAAGAAAAAAAAAAGAAAAAAGAAAAAGAAAAAGAAAAAGAAAAAGAAAAAGAAAAAGAAAAAGAAAAAGAAAAAGAAAAAGAAAAAGAAAAAGAAAAAGAAAAAGAAAGAAAAAGAAGGAATTGAGCTACTGCTGAGCTTCCTGCTGGCACTAATTTAAGTCAAACACGCCACATTTCAACTTATTTCTCAGTGTGCTGCAGTCCAAGTGCTGCTACATTTATTTCTGCTTGCACAAACTGCAGTACAAAACCAACCACTCTCTTCTATGACACGAAAAAGAAACAACCAAAATTTCAGTATCAAACAGAAATAGCTTTTTTTTCCACGAAGTCGTGGGGGTGTTTTGTGTGACCGGGTGAGGAGCTGTCCTGAAGCAGGACCCGGGGAGCAGCAGCACCGCAGCCCCCGCTGCCCTCCGGCAGGGCTGAGGCTTGTGCCGGGCAGGAGCGTCACTCACCCCTCATCAGCGGGCTCCACGGAGTCGCTGCAGATGCCTGGCCTCCAGCTCCTTGCAGTTTGCTGGCATTTTGATTCGTTCTCTCATCATCCATCTCAGCCCTGCCTGCCCAGCCGCTGTCTTTTCACTCTGTGGCTGGTTTCCAGAGTTCAAATTCCATGTTCCCCGGCGAGCCCGCAGCGGCCGGAGCGCTCTCCGGAGCGGACCCCGCACGCATGAGCCGAGCAGCGCCGGCGGCAGCTCGGAGCGCGCAGAGCCGAGCGCCGGGGCTGCGATTTGACAAAGCTGCTCCCGGGCTGCCCTGCTCGGCAGCCAGAGACCCAGCCAAGCCAGAGATGTGCCTGATGTCACATCCTCTCCAACGAGACGCCCAATCGGGGCGCCCGCCGCTCTTTTTTATCAGGAAGGAAATTCTTAGTTTGCCAAAAAAAAACAAGACAGAAAGAGCCAGTTCGACTAGTTGAACAAACTCTGCCTTCAGGGGATGCGCAGAGAGAGCCGGCAGAGC